CTGGCAGACAGTATTATACACTTTAAAAAAGATACCTACATTGAAGCATATTAAAATGTCTTCACATGTCTGTCTTGTCCAATCACCAAGAACCAAACAGTCTTGTTTCAGAGACAACCTTTTATTAAAGGCTATACCTCTACAAAATTATTCAAAAAGGTCATCTCTGAAGCAAGACTGGTTCCTGATGATTGGACAAGACAGATATGTGAAGACATTTTAGTATGCTTCAATGTAGATATTTTTTAAAGGAATAAAAATTATTTACTTATACAAACGTTTTTGTCCATTTGTAATGAATATCGTGAGGTATTCCATAAGGAAAACAGAACAAGCCATTGAATATATTTAAATCCAAAGATTCAAAGTAGTTTGAAGCTCACATGCATAAATGGTACCATGTTACAAAGGTAAATTAAAACTTGTAAATTCAAAATTTAATTGTAATAAATAATAATAAAAACCTGACTATTGTGACCATTGACCACTTTGATCATGTATGTCTTAAGGTAAGAAATCATCTTGGATAAAGTGACCAGTAATAAATAATAATAAAAACAAAATGGAAATTCTAAGGGAGTTTGAAACATGCCCTCCATGATGTAGAGAATGTTTGTCTGTCTAAACAAACATACATTCTTGTAAATCTCAAGAGCTTCTAAATAATTTAAGTGTGGAGATGTTCAATGTAATAAATGAGCCTCTGCACTTCACTGTCCAAAAAGTATGCTGCACCATTTCTTACTGACATTGTATACATGCTCCATTACTCTTAAAACAAGGCTCCTGGCAATTGTTCTGATGTATACTAAAGAGTGGCTCGCTTGAGTGTCATATAATGTACAGCAGGTGTGTAGTTGTCATTCATGGGATTTTTATTGTTCCTACTTAAAGCAAAGGTCAGACTCCTCATCTAGACAATACTGACAATAGCCATTCTGGCAATTTCTTTATAAATGCTTAACATCACCTTATTATAAATAATAATCACAAATCCACCCTTCTGTTGAGAAGCATGGTCCTTGTTGTTAAATGTACGGCATATCAATCCATTAATGAGAGTAGCATGGTAACTTGTAATACAATAAAAAGGGCCATCCGGATGACGTGTAATACAATAGATGTGATAAACTTTAATTCCTTGTCCCTGTCATATGGTGAACAGCAGTATGTAAATGTTCTACTAACAAGAGAACGAAAGGCTATAATCTTGAAAGGGTTATGGGATTGGTATGGAATGTAGAGAGAACAATCAGCCTCCTTTGATAGACTCAAGTAGAGAGTCTGTTTTATTCCTTTATGGTATTTTGTGTGTAGTTTTATTTTAAACAACCAGTTTTTGTTGTAAATATATTTTTGACATTTTAATTTCAAATAAATTCTATTTTCATTAACACATTCATCACAGACAGAAACAATCCACATGATATTTGCAAGAGCAACATTTTATCCTACATTATTCTACAATGTGATGATGGAAAGATGCACATCTCGCCGTTGGTATGACCGCATCGACGAGACAGTCATCCTGGGTGCTCTTCCTTTTCGAAAATTCACTCCTCAGGTGAAAATAAATTTTCATTAAATATTTTTAGAATAAGAAAATCAAATTTATTTTATGTAATGTCATTTCAGCTCTTAGAGAATGAAAATGTAAAAGGAGTTGTTTCCATGAATGAAGATTTTGAATTGAAACTATGGGTAACAACTAAGCAGGTAAATTAAAATAAATAATTTTGTTATTTATGTAAGGATTGATTGTGGAATATAATATTAGGAAACCTTATTTGGCAAAGTTGGGGATAGGAACGTGAGACTACCAGCATTTTGTAGCCAAAAGTGTCCAGTCTCTGTTTAGTTGTGCTGTTGCATAGCAATCAAGTTTACACATAAATTAATTCTCTTATTCCACCAAATCAGTAATTAATGATTGAATTTTGATAGGCACACCACCTTTCAAACACTCAAGATGTATTACAGAATAAGGTAAAAGAACTGATAACACAAGACCATACTGTAATAAGGAGACAGTGAAGATGTTTAAGAACTTGAAGTTACAGGTCATTACTTCAGTTTAAGACAGTTTCATGGCACAAGTGCCTCATGGGTCATGCTGTGCAACCATTTGGTAAAATGTCTAAAAAGCAAAATGGTTCTTCTAAAAGGAGCCATTAAGATAAAATTTAAAATGCATTAATATGGTAAAATTATGAAAATAGCCAAAAAAGCTGAAAATAGGAACAAGTACTAAAATAAAATATTAAAAGCTTCATAAACACATTTGACAAAAACAATAAAAGTAGATGTACAAAATAAAGCTACAAGACAGTTAAAATAAAATTAATATAAAACAAAATCACAATAAAATCAGAGTCTAAAACATCAAATTTCTCTTAAAATACCAGTATCTGATAAAAAAAAACATGTAAAGGCATGAAGAATTAAAATCTTTGCTAATAAGGGCTAAAAGATTCACATTTGAATGATTAAAGTATAACAAATTCAATATGTTAAAATCTGCTTTTAACTGTCAAACATGCTTTACAGTTAAAAAGGTGTTGGCACAAAGTATTCAGGTGGATCCTTTCCCATCAAGAAGTAATGATGGATCCTATGCACAATCATGCCAGGACAATTTTCTTTTGTCTATTCCTGTGAAAGCTTGATTCTCACAATTCTATAACAGCTTGATCTTGTGTGGTTTATTACTAGTTTGGCTATCCCAAGAATGTTGCCATAATTTGTATAGTTTAGTCTTTATGACAGTTTTAAATTAGTATAGGATATTGCCTTAGGAAACTGGCTGAGTGGGATGCTATGTCAACTAGTTTTGGGACACATATGTATCCCGGAACTGGACTACCAAGTCAGATTTCGTTGAGTTCCAGGACATGTGTCCTGGAACTCAACGAAATCTGACTTGGTAGCCACATGAAAAAAAGTTGGTGTAACAGTTGCCAAACCTTCTGCACAAGATAGTGCTGAGGAAACTACAGAGAATTCAAAGCCTGCATCATACTGAGTGAGTCTGAAAAATTCTATTGCAATGATTTCCTTTGTTTACAATATGTTTTAGTGCTAAGTGGTTGGCATCAGTTTGGCAGAGAATATCAAGGAAGCCATATGTAGTTAATCTGTCACCACATGTTCATGATAGATCACAGAGGATCCAACATTATTGTGAGATTTGGATCCATCTGTATAAACAAAAGCAAAACTTCTATAATTTATGATATATCCTGCAAACTGTTGCAGTTATATAAAGTCATCATTATTCAATTTTCGGTTACTGTGGAAGATGGTATCAATAACTATTGGCTTGGTTACCCACAAATTTGTAGGATTACACCCCACTGAGGAAATGGTATTTATATCTAAACTGATCTTGTTCAGTACAGATTGCATACACATACCAAATGTGGGAATACAAGATGGAGGAAAGAAGAATAATCTAGGGATAATTGTGTTAAATATAATGTGCCTCGCAAGATGTTCCATCAGAGCTTTCAGTTTTATTGTATAAAAAAGGAGACAGCTCTTTCCTCCTCCTATGGAGTGGCAGCTCAAATGCTTCAACATACAGACAGTGCACAGAAGTATGGAATGCACCTACACAACCCTTGGTGGTGTATTAGGTCTAATATGCAGTGTGAATTATTGCCCCATAGTCAAGCTTTGATTGGATCAATGACTGGTATATGTGAAGCATCAGACAACAGTCCACTCCTCAAGATAGTTTTGATATGTTCAATGCTTTTAAATATGCACATCAATCAATGCAGACATATTAAACATCTTGTGACTTAAAGACTATGCTGCTTTGAACATATGTTCATATGAACATATTTAAAACAAATTATTCAACCATAAATGTTCCTGAAATTTTTTGCATATATTTTGAACCACCTTTTTCCATATATTTCGAATCACCAAGCACTCTATGAAGCCTTCAGAGATGTTTAACATCCCTGAGAGCTTCATATAATGATAATCTTCAGAATCATGTTTCTGGTTTCTGGGTAATTGGGTTTGAATGTTTGAAAAAATCCTAAAATAAAAAAATCCTAAAACAATGAGATGACAGCTACATCTACAAGCAATGTACAGAGAGTAAAAATATTAACACACCAGTTCACATAAATTTTTCAAATATTCAAACTCAATTACCTCAGAAATGTGATTGAGGGTGGCACTACACATCCCCAAAGGCTTCGTATATAAATGGGAGCCATTGTTCTTTCTTCATTGTTTCCTTATAATGTGGTCTTGTGTTAAGGAATTGAAATACAAGAAAAAGACAGTTGTGGTTCCACAGTTTACAAATGTTTTTTAAGAAGTTTATCATAGACATGAAAAAATTACAGTAACAATTTTTTCAATCTGGTATTGCCAATTGACTTGAAATTTGGCAATAAATTGCCAGACTGAGCATTGTCCTATTCTCTATATCTATATAGTAGCTTAAAGCAAAATGCTCATGCTTTAAAAATGCAAGTTTTATTTAAACCATAGTAGATAAAATTTGTACTTTATCCGGATAATGTAGAGTCTGAGTTTTGTTTTTACTTTTGTTTTATCCATTTTTGGATAATGTCAGCTTTATTCACTCATGACTTGGACAAAATGCACTTTATATGGATAAAATTTAAAATTAATAGATTGTGTCTTACTTTAACAAAAAGATTTGGATAAAGCTATTAACTAAATTCCAGCTTCATCCAATTCATGGACTTTAGTCATAACATAATGAAAATATATTTTTATCAATTAATATAGAACATAAATCAAGTCACAGATATTGCCACAGTTTGCTATATTGAAAAATATTACAAGAATTATGTCATTGTTATGAGCAAGTTATCTAGTCAATTATGGAAGAATGAATGTGAGAAAAATGATCATTTGAATGTCGAAATTTGAGTGTTTTAATATGGTTAAAAAATTGTATGGCATGTAAATTTGGAAATATTAAGATCTTAATTTTTGAATTCTGTTTATAGGAATGGAAGGATAAAGGAATAGATTTTCTACAGTTAAGAACTACAGATATTTTTGAAACACCAAGTCAAGAAAAATTACTTCAAGGTGTGCAGTTTATAAATAAGTTTGTTGGAACAGGAAATTCTGTTTATATCCATTGCAAAGCTGGAAGGACTCTGAGTGCTACTCTTGTTGGTTGTTATCTTATGCAGGTAGATTATTACTAAAATTTATCACTTAGATTTTATCAAGAACACAATGACTTTTTTATATTTCTGAATTGTTACAGACTTTATTTCATATTATTTCTTTCTTGAATGTAATTTTTAATCCTAAAATAACAACTAAGTGTTTAAAAATTATTTTTATGATTGAAGTATTTTTTTAATTTGCAGAGACACTACTGGGTACCATCTAAAGCAGTGGAGATGATTCGATCAAAACGACCTCATATATTGCTTTCTAGCAAACAATGGGAAGCTCTTGAAGAATTCTATAGAATTAATGTTGCAAAACAGGGGTGAAAAATACACCTCAAATGTTACAGATCAAAGTAAACATGTACAAGAATTTTTTTTATGAATTGTGTCAGAAACCACATATCATATTATTGTAAGGTGCTGATATTTTATACAATTTATTTATTAGAAAAATTTATTTATTTACTTGCTCCAAATATGAAGATTAATTACCTCAGATTAATAATTGTAATTGTCATTTGAACAGCAGTTGATTAACAGGTCAAGTCTGTTAACATTCCATACATACCATTACTTACTTTCATAATATAAATCTTTCATAATGTTAAAAAAACTACAGAGAAAGGTATTTGAGTTGATTTAAACATATCAAACTCTCGTGCTTCCATTATTGAATAACAAACTATTTTTTGATGCAGTATACTATTTTTAAATAGTTTTTTAGAATGTATTTTTACATTTTTTTCTTTAATATGGATGTTTTGGAAAAGTTCCAGAATTTTCACAAAATACTCAGAACAAACAGATTTATTTTTTACATAAAGCACTATTTAGATATTTTTTCCCTTCATTTTTTTATGTACAGTCATCTCAATATTTGTTAACCATTAAAAAAATTCTAGTTTTAAGTATTCATAGGCATATGCTACTTATATAGAATATTTGATAGAATTCTGAAAAACTATTATGATCAAATGTAGATTTTTATCTATGATAATTCCTCTTTTTCTCTTCTAACTTGAGAAATTAGACCAATTAATATGAAAGTACATTAAGATTTTACTATTATCAGGTTAAATAAAGTTCAAATCTAATGATAGAAAATATAATTCAAAGTAAAAAGTGCCTAAGGTAGTTTTGAAAGAAATTTAAGAAACCAAAATTTTTAAAATTCTTAATTATATACGTTCTCATAATCGATAGTATTTTTAATGATGATCTTAACCAAATGAACAACTAAAAAATCCTTTATAAATACCACAAATACCTCTTTCCTCTTCAGAATAGAATTGTAATTAATGCAAAGAAAGTATTTCTATCTGAATAAAATAAAAAAACTGAAAATTAGTTGTTAATGAATAGTTTTACTTATTATCCAATAAATAAATATTAATCCTAAATGTTATAACTAAAATTGTTAAATTATAACACAGATTTCTGTTTCTATCAATGGCTTCAAAAGTCATTCATTTTATTTATCTGACAATCAAATAAAGAGTTTGTAGCTACAAATTGTTGTTCTTTCTTGCTATATATATATATATATATGGCTTCAAAAGTCATTCATTTTATTTATCTGACAATCAAATAAAGAGTTTGTAGCTACAAATTGTTGTTCTTTCTTGCTATATATATATATATATATATATTTGTTTCCATTAAAATTTCTATAAAATATTCTATTCTTTAAATATATTCCAATTAAATTAAGATTTTAAAGTATAAATTAAAAAGCTAAATGCAAATATTTTTGTGTGACTCACAAAATTATTTTTTTAACTACTATTCATAATCTATAGTTTATAGTTTGTAAAGAAAAGGCCTTAACTCGATGATATAGCCAGAAGGAAAGGGAGAGGGAGGGATGGAGATAGGGTGGGGTGAAGGGTGGGGAGTGGGTGGGAATGGGAAGGAAAAGAGCGAAGGGGATAAGAAGAGAATAAGGGCACTTGCCGCGAACCGTCCGTACGGAGGGGACAAATTACGAATAGCGTGTAGGGTTAAAAGACCGCGTGAAGGATACAGAGAGTAAAGATGGTGCCTTTGATAAGCATGACNCAAGTAAAGATATAGGCTTTTCATATCAAGACTATACTTATTTCTTAAACATTTCTTTATTTCCACAATAAAACATATGAAATTCTATTAATTATAATGACTGCTTTTTCGAAAGTTGTAAATGACACAACTATTGACGTTCTAAAGGTACACTTTAAACGTAATTTTTATATAAACAATGATGTTTGTTGTTTCAGTGTTTTTGTTTAAGTATGTTTACTGTTTTTCACTGACTTTTTGTTGTTTAGTGAAAAATTTCTGCACATCTAATCCTAATCACAAAAACGAGACTTCAGACGTCCAGAAAAAATATGGATGGCGGTAATAAAATGTCATGAGTGATAGTAGTTTTACCAAAGCAAACTGTCTAGTCATCATAAGGTGTTCATAAACATGTAGAAGACATCAAAAAGTCTAAATAAAAGGGAGCAAATTAATATAGTATTTTTCAAAATAATCATCCCAACTTTAAATATATATTTTAAGTGACTTTTTTCAGTTCGAGAAACATTTATAAAAGTCACTTTTTATGATACAAATTATCTCGGCTGGATGGCCGAACGGTCAAGGTTACAGCCTACCAATTTGGGGGATCCGTTTTCGAATCCAGACAGGTAGAAAAATACCCAAAAATTTTTCAAGGGTGGTTCATTTAGATACGTCGAGCACTATCCCTCACCATCCAGTTGGCCCATTGTAGGCCTGGTCGAACCCGTAATGAGCCTGCTAGAAAGAGGCCCTTTTAGTGCCCACAGAATGGAAGAGTTAAAAAAAAAAACCACAAATGATCCACAATAAATGAAGTAAGAGAACTTCACGTTGATTCTTCTAGTACTGAAATCGTTTTATTTTTATATTCGGAGTATTGAAAAGTCTGTAGCAACTAGTACATTTTTCGGCGAGTTTTTACTTTTTCAAATTAATAAAATGTTTTACGAAAAATTTCGAAAATTTTGCGATTGCTGAAGCTCTATAATGTTCATTTTACAAACTTTATTGAAGATTATATGAAATATAATTTATTTATTTATCATTTTTACATTATTTGCAGCTATAGAGATAGACGACGCCTTTGTGATAGTAGCGAATTGGAGAATTACAAAAGTTCAAGATAGCGTAGAAGCACGAATGGAGAAAACTTATTCCAAATCTGCAGTTTCTATAACCATAACAACTTTAACAAATATTTTATCTTTCTGCATAGCGATGACTGCAGAATTTCCTGGTGTGAGGATCTTCTCTTATTATGCTACTACTTGCGTGTGCTTCACTTATTTCTACCAGATTATGTTTTTCGGATCGTGTCTAGCTCTTAGTGGATACAGAGAACAGAAATCACTCAATGTATTTACATTCAAAGCTGTGAAAGGTAATGACTTTTTTTTACATTAAACAGATTAAAAGTAATAATAAACAACGCTTTTTTGCCAGATAAATTAGACAGAATTAGATAACCTAATAAATAGGGTATAACAATTTGCAGGGCTTATCACACCAAGGCCTGTGTGATAAGCCCTGCAAATTGTTATACCCTATTTATTAGGTTATCTAATTCTGTCTAATTTATCGTCGTGGGCAAAAAGCGTTGTTTATTATTATCACATAACTATAATTTGCAGTCAGTCAGAGAAATCAAGGAGTACCCAGAAGAATTAATGTCAAAATTAAAAAAGACATAGACAGGAATTCTTTAATTTTAACATTTCAGTTATATATTTTTAACATATAATGGGGAACTGTAAAAACAAAAAATTTTTAAGTTTGCAAAAAAGATATTTATAGCCTAACTTAGGTTAATGTACTGTACAGTAAGCATAACAAGAATAATATAAACGGGTATGGGTACTTAAGAAATTTTTCATACAAATAATTTTATACACAGCATGATGTAACTAGTAGCAGTGAATTCTGAATAGCTTTTGGTGGCATTTTGCATGAACAGAATAATAAAGTGTATTTGTGGTTTGCTATAAATCAGGAGACTTTTTTTTGTAAAAGTTACATCATTCATAAGGAAGGAAACAGAAGGAAAATGTGCTGGAATTGCAGGCCATTTTCCCATTCCAACATGATTTGGTAGATATATAAAAGTTTGTTTCGACAGACAGTATTATCGTATGCTTCAAGAGGGTTGTGAAAATTCCTCACATGATAAGATACATTCATTACTATTTCATACTGCTCGACCCTATTGATAGTATTTTGTCTTTCAAGTAATCCATTTTTTCTCTCTTTTTAACTACTAATGGTGTGTATTTACATGTTTATGTTCATATAGATAGAAAAATAAACAAATGCAAATATCTTCATTTTTGCATTTTATCTGCTCATAACTGATGAGTCACTTTACACCACAAAAGTCCCTATTGTTTGGTGATAATGAAAACAGATGCTCTTCTACAGCCACTCTTCTGAGTTTATGAAACATTGTACTCATGAGCCTGGTTGCCATTCACTGGTGTCACAGGATGATCTTATGATGCATTTTACATCATAAAGTCACAACTCTGACTCAAAAGTTGAGAAAGTTTGTCACAGAATGTAAAAACTTTCTAATATTACTACAATTATGATGAAAAGTGCAATTGTGGTACTGACAACATTATGACAAACTTGATAAATTTCTATTGAGTACAACTGTAGTTGGATTGAAATGAGTACAACTTTTACTCATTTCAATGATAACTTTATTGAATACTTTAGTAATATGTTAAAAGAACAGAAAATTATATAAAATTAGTAGCCTAACTAATACATATTAATGTAAAAAAACTATTTTACAATGATAGATATTTTTGTTCTACAACTGATGAAAATTCTTATTAAATGCATTTGATAAAGACTAAACATTAACACTTGAAAATGTTTGTTCTGCTTCTTAGTCATTAGGAAAAGTACAGTAATTTTCCTAATACAATATTGATTAAATGGATCTCTTACAAATTATATGTAAATAAAAATAAAGCAATTTTTCAGTTTACTTTTATTTTCTTGGCTTTCTTAAATTACAAGTTTATTCTTTATTACTCATTCACATTTACATACATCATTAATGTAATTTCCTATATAAATTAAGTTCCTTCATACACATAGTTAAAAATTATTACCTATTAAATCTTTTGTCCAATATACAACAAATTTTTCACAAATCTAAATTCATCAGTAAAAATAAATAATCTATGAGATTTTGAATCACACATATTTACATAATTTTAATGCAATAATACCTATTTGTGCTATTTTTCTTGCACAGTTCACTATAAGAACATAAAAATGTTCAATTCATTGATTGTTTGCAGGATAATACAGACATTATTTACAATTTTAGATAAGTACTGTATACTTAATAGTGACAAGTTTTTATTTTAAACTTTTGATTAATACAACTTATTTATTTAAAAAATACTAATTAATAAATCAAAATTAATTGTCAAAGTTTTAATAAAATAAAAATTTTGACACTATATTAAATATTATATAACTGAGTAATTTTCAATTTTTTATGCAGAATTTAGATCTTTCTAATCATCATAATGGTATATTTCTGAAGTATTGACTCATGCTTATAAAGTTTTGTAATATTTCTAAATATTATGTTAATGTGTTTTGTCCTGAATGTTTGCTAACTACATTACAATTATTTTGTATCAAATCAAATTTTTTTTCCTCTTCTGATAATAATACACAATATTATCGGTTTGCTTTGACTATGTAAGATAAAAATCTTGCATGTATGACAAATAAGAATGTAATGTAGTTATTGTTTGATATGAAATATTTTCCATTTATTTTGCCATATTTTCATTTTGTTAAATTCTCATGTTAAATTATGAGCAATGATTGTTTTTAACCATATTTCATATAAAAGTCTTTTAAAAATTAATTAAATAGCTTGTCAATTTAATTACACTAAATTCTCACTTTATGATATTGTGTTTTTCTATGCACTTTCCAACTAGTTTCTCCTTGTCTTATTCTTGTTTTGTGTTTCTCCATTTTCTGTTTATGTCAACTTTCTAACTTGGATTAGAATCATCTATTTGAAAATTGATGTATTGATTAATATATCAAAATTAATAAAAAGTAGCCAAAAATTTTAAGAACTGAATTTGTTACATAATTATAAAATTATAATTTAATATCATATTTGAAGCCTTTAAGTTAATATTCTTAATTTTTTTTATTTTTTGGAAACAATGAAGGATTTTAAATAATTAAAAAGATATAATAAAAAATTTATTCATAATATAGTATATTCAATGTTCAAATTAATAAGTATATATAAAATTTTATTTTATGGAAAAGCTTTAATGATTTTAAAGCTTAAAGCTTTTCTGAAACCCAATAAAATTTAGTTTACTTATTATAAATAAGTAATAACTAAATATATATATATTAATTTCTGATAAATTTTTATGCTATTATTTTGATCTACTCACAAAAGCGCAGAGTGGAGTGGAAGTATAACTCAAAAACGTCTTAGAGAACCTTCTTAAATAAATTGCCAGTAAGTTATCACCTTTAGAAGGACTAATGTTCAGGATTGAAAATGTTAGTTGTTCTAAATGTGATAATTTATTGGAGATTTATTTAAGAAAGTTCTCTAAGAAGTTTATAAACTATTATTTTGAATAAAAAATATAAAAAATTAAGATTAGACTATATTATTATTATTATTAATTAATTGGTATTATAAAATTTCAAAATTTTTCTTCTTAAAGATGCTTACATTTTCAATAATATCATCAACTTATAATGTTAATAATTTAATGATTTACAATAACAATTTTTTATTGATATCACATAGAATATCAATTATCCAACTAATTGGGAATCAAAATACTGTTAAGATAATCAAACATGAACAAGAATACCCAAATTATACTAAGCAAAGTATATTTACAACTTAACATTTCATATAATCTTGTATACTATTAACATTAGTTAATTGATTTAGGAAATTATGTGTAAATAATAACCAGCAAATATCAAAATAGGATGTACAATATACAGGTTACCTTCATTTTATGCCAGATTGACGATGAAAGATCCAATATACTTCTCAACTACTTAACAATACTTCACAGAAAAACCAACAGTTAGAATATAATTTGGTTAACTTTAAGAATAAAGTGGATTTATAATTGAAAGTTAATAATATTTTTTGTGTATTTTATAACAATAATTATAAGAATAACATGCATTATTTAAATAATGATTAGAAAGATCACTTCTATATTAGAAATAATTGTTGATATAAATATTTCAATTTTCAATATAAAAAAAAATATTTTAATTTCAAAGATACAGTATATGTAAAGTATAAATGCTGTTCATTTAACGTTAAATAAAATATTTTGGTATAAAATATTTATTTTATTATATTTCACTAAATTTTAATATATTTATTGTAGAAAAATAATTGGATATGTTTATAAACAAATGTAAAGTCAATTATTTATAATCATAAAATTTTAAAATACTTTTATAATATGATGAGATATGAAATAAATATTTAAATAAATAAAATATGTATGAAAAGGATGGCTTAACAAAAATAATTTAACAACAGTACATTCTTTATTTAAAAAATCTTGTAATTTGTACTTTTGATGAATAATACTGATTCTGTAATATGGTTCATTCTTTAAATCATTACATTAATATTAATAATATGCACTTAAAAGTAGCTATGGCATTTTATTCATAAGTTTATTGACAAATTTTAATTATCTGTAATTTTGACAAATATTTTCAATTATCTATTAATTAACTATAAATAATCATGCATTTTCAAATTAAAATAATTTAAACATTTATTTAAAAAATTGGTTTTTAATCTTTTTGATTTAATCAAAATTTATTTTTAATAAATAATGTCAATAGATATGCTGAAAATTTTAATAATTTAATTCTGCAAGTTTTTATTTAGAAATTGTTATCACTGTTAGTGTTAATGATTGTAATTAATATAATAGTAAATTTTTTGCAGAAAGAGTTAGAAGACATGTAGCAGAGAATAACCAGACAAAGAATTACTAGAACTGAAAAAAAAAAATGCTTTGCCATAGTATGCAATTCTAATAATTTATCAATAGAAAATAGACATGAAAGTCTCTTAGATTTATCTGAAAGATTTAAGATATATTTTGAGATTTGAGAAAGAAGCCAAGAATTCAAATCTCTAATATATATATAGAGTTGTACTGAGAAGCAATTTTTAATGTATACTTGAAATTTGAAAGCCTTCAAGAAATCAATTTTATTTCAATAAGTAACTCATTCTTTTATTGTCAATATTTTCATTATTCAATGTTTTGAAATGTAAAGGTAAATTTTCCAAAAAGCATTAAGTTAACTTATGTGGCTCATTACTAAAACAGGCTGACTAAATTATTTTTTAAATTTAAATAATAAAATTAATTCATCAATAAAANAAGGGAGAGGTAGGGATGGAGATAGGGTGGGGTGAAGGGTGGGGAGTGGGTGGGAATGGGAAGGAAAAGAGCGAAGGGGATAAGAAGAGAATAAGGGCACTTGCCGCGAACCGTCCGTACGGAGGGGACAAATTACGAATAGCGTGTAGGGTTAAAAGACCGCGTGAAATTCATAATCTATAGTAACAAATTCATATAGAAATGTATAACTTTTGATATGATGGCCAAGATAATAAAGGCACCAGCATGCCACTCCAATTTTTTATGGTGTTAAGTGCAGTCAACTCAGAAATTTTCATTGATACATTGCAAATTCTCTCTTAATACTTAGCTACTTCATTTGTCATGGGTTCAACCAAGCTTGTAAAGAAAAACATTAATAATGCATAAAGCAATATATTATTTGCTTAAAGACATCATAACCCAGGATTATCTGCATTTGAAGATAAAGACTTATATAATTTAATTTTTTAAGTGAGTCTATTTTTATGTCTTATATAGCTTCAAATTAATATTGCAATAACTATAATTGAATACTGAAACATCATGTATGTCATCTAAACACTAGATAATGTATATTATGATGATGACATATACAGTAGTTAACATATACTGTTATCATTAAAGCTAAAATATCTAGGTTTTATAACTATTTATATTTTTAGTAATCATACCAGTTATGATTTTTAGTGACTAGATGTTCTAGCCTGTTAAAGGAAAAAAAAATTGATAAAGATGCAACACATATCCTTTTAATATTTAGAAAAGCATCTTAAAGCCACAAGGAAGAGCTATCAAATATCTATTTAAATAAATTTATACTAAATAATAATTTCAAAAAAAATTCATATTTTAAAATTATTTTTATTTCTTAGTGCAATAAAACTCTAAATCATCTGAATTAATTGACCTGGATCATCTGGATATATTGCATATGCAGATTATTGGATTTTTGCATAAAATAGTCATTTTTTTTCTCCCTATCCAAAACCGCATTATGCATATTACTTGTGTACATAACTATGTGTAATTAAATGTGGAAATAAAGTATGTTTGTTTGTAGGTATATTTTCTACATTTAGAAAAAAATTACTTTTCATGCATGTACTGTACATATATCTAAATGCCTATTTATTTTTAACAAAGTCAGAGGGCAATTTAGATAATCAGCATCCATATAATTGGAGTTTTATTGAACAATCTTACCCACTTTATATGTTTTTCACAATCATACATTAAATATTTTCTGTATAAGTACTTTCTCCATTATAAAACACTTCAGTTATGTTTTTCATTTATAAGACATTGCATGTATATATAAATTTTTCATTACCCTATCTCACTTAAAATTTTTCCATTTCAAAATAAACAACATGTAAGTGATTATTTAAAAAGAAAAAACAAATATATATTTGCTTCATGTTAATCCACAATGACAGCAAATCACCAGTAAATAAAAGAAAATTTTTGCATTCCACTTTTTTGTAGTGTAGTGAATAAAAATTGCTTTCTAGTTTTTTATTCATTTTTTGTTACTCACTGTCAGTGTGACCAATGGGGAACAAAAGTGTAGATTTCTAGATGAATACCTGGAAATCCACATAAACACACAATTCACTTGAAAATTTAGATTGTTTGATTCACTCAAATTTATGAAGCTTTCCAGCATTCTTAAACAGTGTCTACAAAAATTTATAAAGATAAATCTTGAGTAAAGTAAATTAATCATGAAGTTAATTCACTCTACTGGATTTTCATTACTTGCTTCTTACCTGGGACTATTAAAAAAAAATTACTTTTAATGAGGAGGAGAGAATTTTTGGTATTATTTTTACTTAACTTCATTAAAATTTAAATTATTTTAATTTTTAAAGCCAATAAATAAAATCAAGATACTGTATATTATTTACTCTTAAATGAAAACATCAGAAACCACTGAGTATGCTTATGAATAAAGTAAAATATTTAACTAACGACAGTGATAACAAAAAATATGGTTTGGTCCCTCCTCTCTCAACTTCCACTCAGCTCTGGCCAGTGTATGAGCCACATAACTTTAAATTAGACAGAATTAGATAACCTAATAAATAGGGTATAACAATTTGCAGGGCTTATCACACCAAGGCCTGTGTGATAAGCCCTGCAAATTGTTATACCCTATTTATTAGGTTATCTAATTCTGTCTAATTTATCGTCGTGGGCAAAAAGCGTTGTTTATTATTATCACATAACTATAATTTGCAGTCAGTCAGAGAAATCAAGGAGTACCCAGAAGAATTAATGTCAAAATTAAAAAAGACATAGACAGGAATTCTTTAATTTTAACATTTCAGTTATATATTTTTAACATATAATGGGGAACTGTAAAAACAAAAAATTTTTAAGTTTGCAAAAAAGATATTTATAGCCTAACTTAGGTTAATGTACTGTACAGTAAGCATAACAAGAATAATATAAACGGGTATGGGTACTTAAGAAATTTTTCATACAAATAATTTTATACACAGCATGATGTAACTAGNATATATTTTGAGATTTGAGAAAGAAGCCAAGAATTCAAATCTCTAATATATATATAGAGTTGTACTGAGAAGCAATT